TTTTTTTTTTTTATACTCGCAAAATTTTTGTATTGCCTTTGGCACTCTGCTGGTTTTGCTGAGCTCTCTGTCTACTGTTGATAGGATTAGGAAACTTTTTTTTCCTTGACGGCAGGATTTTTGATATGTCTTTCTGGCAATTTGCGTTCGTTGTGGGCTGAAAGAGTTCTAGCGAAACATTTCTTTTTGTTATAAAAAATTATGCCGTATTACTTGGCTCTTTATTTTTTAGATGCAGCACTTATAGATAAACAGTATGGTTTTATGGTAACGTCAAAATTATTGCTTTCAGATAGTAATATGAACACGCCTTTAAAATTAATTTTAACGTAAGAGTTTTCGCCATTATTTTTATAATCAAGTTTTGGATAATGATTTTCTTTCTTCGGAAATTTTTAGTGGCATTACTTGTCAGAGATAGGTATTTTAGAGAATTGAGACAATTTTTTGTTCACATTTTTCTTTAAGTTTAAAACTCAAGTGTTGGATCGTGGATAAGTTTGGATTTTGCAGTTGAACAGTCATGAATTGTAGATTAAGAAAAAAAGGTCAAATTAAATGATTGAAAAGTTTATTCATGATAAATGTTAATCAGTAAAATGAAACAGGAGAGGATTTATCAGGAAGGTAATTGTTGTTAGAAGACCTGGACGGTACTTTGAGTTTAAAGTAATAGAAAGCGTTTGAATGGTTATGAACTTCCAGAGCTTTGAAGTTAAATGTTTTTGCAGGTTTAAACGGCGCTAGGTTTATTTCGGAACAAAAACAAAACGTTTTTAGCTCTTTGTTACAGGAGTATTTTGGCTTGTCTAACATCGGTCCGAGATTAGGGGAAACACGTGAAGAGTTGCGAAGTTCTGTTGAATTTCACCCGGTTGCTGGCTAGGGAAACAATAAGTAACTGCTGCTTTCAGTGCGACTTTATTATTCTGGTCTTTATTATTTAATTTGGTGTTGTCTGATTTGGTTGAAACGCAAAAATCTTGAGAGGAAGGGGCACACAACTGGACGCAAGGGCGCGACAGCCCGAGCGATCATTTCGGCGTCTATCCGACCCTGCAATTATTAGAACAAGTTTAGCGCACAACATGGTTCTATGCGGCAATGTTGATGGATACCGAGGGAAAATTGAAAAGTTTGTTTCACCGTTGTTTTATCAGTAGTCCTGAGGTTTAAGGTGGCATAAAAAACAGCTAGACCATTTCTTACTTTAGTTTTTTTACTCTTTTCGTAATGTAGGGACCGGCGAACTTTAACTTTGATGGCAACTTTGCTTTCAGCTCTTAAATGTTTTTTTATTTAATTTGTCATTTAACACTAGGTTCCGTAATGTAAATCTAATGCTGCTTTTTTAAATAAAATTTTTTAAATAAACTTTGTTGAAGAGTTCGTTTTGGTACAAGGATTGAAGATGCCTTTCCGAAGGAGATACCAGCAACTTTACTGGTAATTTTTGTTTTTTTTCTTTTTTGGTTTTATTGCAGGGTAAGTTTTCTTTGATATATGTATTGACCAGTTAGCGAGTTTTTTCAGTGTAAATTACTGGGGGAGGTACATTTTATTAATTATCGATATTATTTTTAGTTTTCGTCTTTGACTTTTGAAATGATAAAGCAGTAGACATTTGAACTGGTGGTACAGTATAGTCATTGGAAATTACCAGAAAGTGCAAATTCCTGGTGGCTTGCCTTTTAGCCCCTTTGGCTTTTAGCATATTTCAGATGGGAAGAGTTTTTTAGTTTAAATAGAAAGGTTATCGTTCTGCTTGTCTGAAATTACTGTTTTGTTTTAGAGAGTTGGATTTATGGAGTTGTTAATTAGATGATAACAAAAAAGTATAAATGACAAAAACCTAGGATTCAGAAAAAAGACTTTAAGGTTTTTGCGTAAGGGAGTTTCTGTAAGTCGTTTGACGCTTAGAACTTTTTTGTGAGTGTAAGTGAGTGTTAATGGCTACGGTGCGTAAAATTTGCCAGGCTGAATTTGGTGTTGGGGCGACTTTTGGTTAGATCTTGGTTTGAGATGATTTAATAGGAATTAATATTACATGGCGTTGAATATTATTCTAGCTATTATGAAAACTTTTGGCTGAATGCCTCTAAGGGTTGTTGGTCAAATGCTACGCGGAAGTGTTTTAGAGCGGAATTTTCTAAAATGACTATCCGCCAGTTGTTTGCAGACTATCGTTTAATTAAAAAGGAATTTTTACTCAATTCTTATCTCATTCGCAAGAACTAATTTTTGTATGCGTTCTCACGATGGGTACATCCAGGTATTACTACTCAAGGTCAACAAGGAAGGACCCTCTAAAAAGGATATTTGGCGAGCTCCTGGTAACCATGCCCAAATCCGGACGCTTGCGAGGCATATGAGAGATGGGACGCTTGTTAACATCTCCCATTTCGATGAAAAGACAGTAGCTTCAGTAATCAAGGTGGCCTTTTGGGTTTTTCAATTATAAAGTTCAAAAATAATTATTAGATCTTTCCCTCCCTATTTTCTAGTTAAAAGTATTGATAAACGTTGGGTTTTTTAGTTGTTTCTTTCGAAAATACCTGGCGGTATATTTGGTTATGAAAACGAGAAGAGATTGTTCGAGAATTTTCCACGCGCAAATGCTGAGGACCAACGCCAACTTTTTTGTAGGCAAGTATTTCTTATATTTACAACCGATTCGTGCTTCTTCTTTCTTGTTTTCAAGACAGCGTGAAGTGATGTGCAGTTTTAATGAATAGATTTAAACATTTTGATGGTGCTTCCTTAGTAACATTAATCCTTGGTAAATGAATCCAGTTTCAACCTTTTTAGCAGTCTTTTGAACTCTGAGGTTCATAGTTCTCTCCTTTTTTTTGACTTGTTGAGTTGGGATATTTTAGGGGTTTCTAGGGGTATTGAGGTTTTTTCCATCTGCCTTACTGCAATAGTTGCATTTTAGGGTGATTTGCAGTCTTTGTGTGCCTTCGCAGCATCTGCTGGTTCTTCTTTTCGGAACGTTTCATATGGTGTCTAAAGCTTCAGATGTTGGTGTAGCTAGGATGACTCCAGATGCATTGGGAATATCTGTTGCACCTTCACTTTTCCATTCATGTATTCATATGCGTGAGGTTACCGTTTTTTAAGAATCGTACTGGAGAAATATTTTTATCCAAGTTTCTCACCAAAGCCTATTTGAAAACTGAGTGGTTTTCAAACGCTTTTATTTAATTGAAACACTTCAGGCAGGTGTTCGTAGTCTGTTAAAAGTAACTACTTGCAGGCAAAAATAGAGGATGTTATGCGTTCGAAGGTCGCATCTGAAGTAATTTCTAAAGTTATTCAGAATTTTGGCCATATCAGTTTGTTTCCAAAAACCTGTTACGAATTTTATGCGCGAATGACGGGTAGAACGATGCGGGTAGATGAGAATGCTGTTAAGTTGCTGTTCACGCTTCCCAATAGTAAGAGTTTTTTGAGGAACTGTCGAGCAGCTAAGTTAAATGTTTTAGATTAGTTCTTTTTTTACCAACAGCTTTTTCCTTTTAATAGAAACTGATTTATACCCGAGCGCGTGTAATGATTTTTGGACATATTTTGACTAAGCTGTTTGTTCTTTGCTGGCCCTGTATTTTCAATGCTTTAAGTGGTCGTAAAATTTAAATTGACAAAATCTAGAAGGCTGTTTTAGTTGCCACTGCTGTTACTTAGAGTTGTTTACTTTTAAGTACATAGTTACATTCAAGTCTTGTCAGAGACCTGAATATTGTAAAAACTGTACGAAATAATAACTCGTGCTCTACACTTATGGATTTCGAAGTGTTATAATTATGTGTTATTTCATTCGCCTCAATCACTTGTTTTCGCTTTCGGAATTAAGATGCAGTTCAGTAACTGAGAGACCTGGATTCAAGCTTATCGTTCGTTGCATCACTGTTCCCCTGTTCTACTTCCCCTAATGCTGAGCTACCTGGGCATTTTTCCCATTGTACTGCATCTTGTGTTCATTTGTTGGTTTATTCTTCGGCATTGATATATCGAATAGTTCTCCTGGATTTCCCGGTCAACGAACTGGTATCTGAACCAGCTACAGGTTTGATGAAGTAATGGATGAAAGTTCTCATCGGTCTGAGAAATATGAAGTGATTAAGTTCTGTAGTTCGTTTACATCTTATGAACAGCCGTAATTTACATTGTGTTTTGAGCATGGCCGTTTACAATTGCTTGTTCTTGTGTTTATTGTAGTAGTTCGGTTTAGCGTTTAGTTCGTTATTTGTTCATCTGTTTCCGTTTATATTTATTTTTTCTTTGGAATTAGGGGCTTTACTCTTTTTTTCCCTGCTTTTCTCCCTATTTTACTGTTCTTAAGCTCGCTTTTGTTCTGAGAGTTTAGTTCTGTTTTAGATTCGCTTTACTCGCCAGTACCCTCAGCGACTTCATTCTCATTGATGGCTATGAAATGTGCTGGTAGTTATTCGTTAAGCTCGGTACCCAGTGTAGAAAAAATTAAGCAGTATGATGATCATTTTTCATTTACTGAAGGAATTACGGGAGCCAAGTTGCCTGGGCCAAGTACTCCTTTGCCTGAATCACCCGCAGTATCAGCAACAAGTGGAGTGAGAATTTGCTGTAGAAAGAGTGAGGGACATGATTACAGCAATTTCAAAGAAGAAACTTCTGTTTCTGTAAATGTTATCGATAGTGACACCAATCTAATTTATAGCAGTTGTGTCCATCGAGATCAGGATAAGGCGCGATTTTCAGCCTTGCGTCACGAATGTA